ATGGGCCCTGCAGGCAAGACTTTAACTGCAGCTAATTTGAGTCTTGGCAGAACACCTTGTGATCCTCCTGGAACATGAGAACCTGGGAGGCTTGTGAGGAGCTGCTCTGATGCCATCTTCCATTTGTCTATCTCCTTTATGAGGATTTTGATTAGGTATGTGGCTTTCTGTCCCGGATCCCTCAGGGTATAGCTGTAAACTATAAAATTGTTCAAGTGCAGTCCAGAACTTGTTCCTCAGCTGCCCTATCATTTGTGATGCAGTCATCTGGTCTCTTTTGTTGTGGTGTCACTTTGTATAAGGGCCATGAGTAAGCTGGTACCTTTGGCTACTTTTCCTTTTGCTATCCATATGTAATACACTGTCAGAATGTAAAAAGAGTTCATTGTTACTTAACCTGCCAAATCTGTCAGGATTTCGCTAGATCTTGTGCTTGATTGATATTACAATAGATTGGATGCAGAAGTAGATAGAAAACTCTGCTGCTTCTATTAAATTGGACATTAAAGAAATCAGCAAAAATGTTCAATAATGCTTCCTTTGTCACTACATTTTAAAAAGAAAAACAGATTTTTAATGAAATATTTATGTTAACAATGAGTTTATTATTGTTTTAAAAATAAATATATAGGCTGGGCGTGGTGGCTCATACCTGTGATCCTAGCACTCTGGGAGGCCGAGTCCGGCGGATCGTTTTTTTTTTTCTTGAGACAGAGTCTCACTCTGTTGCCCGGGTTAGAGTGCCATGGTGTCAGCCTAGCTCACAGCAACCTTCAACTCCTGGACTCAAGCAATCCTTCTGCCTCAGCCTCCCAAGTAGCTGGGATTACAGGTACGTGCCACCATGCCCGGTTAATTTTTTCTATATATTTTAGTTGGCCAATTAATTTTCTTTCTATCTTTAGTAGATACAGGGTCTCACTTTTGCTCAGGCTGGTTTCGAACTCCTGACCTTGAGCGATCCACCCACCTCGGCCTCCCAGAGTGTTAGGATTACAGGTGTGAGCCACTGCACCTGACCCAGGCGGATCATTTGAACTCAGGAGTTCGAGACTAACCTGAGTAAGAGCGAGACCCCAGCTCTACCAAAAATAGAAAAAATTAGCCAGGCATAGTGGCACATGCCTGTAGTGCCAGCTACTAGGGAGGCTGAGGCAAGAGGATCGCTTGAGCCCAGGAGTTTGAGGTTGCTGAGCTAGGCTGACACCATGGCGCTCACTCTAGCTCAGGCAACAGAGTGAGACTGTCTCAAAAAAAAAAAAAAGAAACACAGCATACACCCTCCAATTTCCATGCCCAGTTTTTTAGCCACACTCTCATGTCTGTCCTCCAGTAGTGGCTCTAAGGCCCTCTTAGCCACCTGTCTTACATTCCCACGGTCCACAGCCAAGATTCCTAAAAAGTTTGCCTCACTCCCTTCTTGGCCCAGGGCTGGCTCTACCCAACACCTTATGATTGTACCTTGGAGGGCTGTCTCCTCAGGCCCAGTGTCTTTATTTGTTAAGATGGTATTTGCCACAGAAAGAGGGGAGAGATGTTTGTGTAACCAAAAAAACCTAGGCTTGGTTTTGTTGCTGGAGAGGAAGAAGGAGGAGGAGAGAGAAAAGGAGTGGAGAGTCTAGGGGCCTTTGTCCACTGCCTCTCACCAGCAGTGGTTGATCTCCAGGGAGTCCCCGAGGTTAGCCTGGCTGGGGTAAGAGCAAGGAGCACCTGGGACGTAGGTTCTCCCCACCACGTTCAACTCAGGCACTACTGCCTGGTCTGCCACTGTAATGCTGTCCCCTTCCATGGCCTTGGATAAGAGCCACAGAGGGGTGTGTGTGTGTGTGTGTGTGTGTGTGTGTGTGTTTTCTTTGAGGGTTGCTGAGCAGGGAAGGGGTGGGTCACCATCATGCCACGTGCCCTCAAAGCTGGTTCTCCTATCAAAAAACTAAACTGGAAAAATTAACAGTTGTATATATGCTTTAAACATCATGGGGGAAAAAGTTTATTTTCTATTAAAATCCACTTAGATACTATAGAGACACCAGTCATGCCTGGCCCAGCAAGACCACTGTCAGGTCCAGACAGTCACAGGAAGACAGGCAGAGGGGACCTCCTTCCATGCCAGAGTGGATAGCCTTGGGTGCCTTCTGGTCAAGAACCACTCCTTCCTTTGTCTCCTTGAACAGGGGTTGAAATCAGGTCTATAACGGCCCCATCTCTGCAATGACAGGCTTGAGATGTTGTAAGATCTTCAGAATAAAGGGCTGTGGAGAAGGAGGTATGGAGAAGGGAATAGCTGCTCTTTGGTGTGGGGCTGATGGCTCATTTCTGAAGGATGATAAGGGGTCTCAGATTCAAATGGCTGCAGGGCCCAATAAGTAAAACAGATCAGGGCAGTCCCTGTCTCCTGCTGACCTTGTCCTTCAACCCCACCCCTGAAGTTCGCTGGCTCTGCCCATTTTTTGGCAGTTTTGTTTGGCCCTTCAAATGCCTCACTCCTTTTTCATGAACTTTGTCCCCCAGTGCACACTCCTCCCTCGGTGCCCATTGAGGGACTGCTCCTTGTCCCCTGGTGCCGACTCTTCCCTTGCTGTACACTGAGGGACTGCTCCCTGTCCCTCAGTGCAGACTTGCTCTTCAGTACAGACTTTTCCCTTTGTTTCCTAAATTTTCTCTTACTGTTGAATTGGTGCCTGCAGGGTAGGCTAGTGGGGAAAAGTTGGAGTTCAGGGAGGGAGGATACCAGAGGGGCTACTTGCTTCCTCTGCTACTTGTCCAACTTCCAGGGAAGTGAGGATAGGGCCTTCCAAGGTCAGTTGAAGTGGCTATCACTGATTACCTAACCTCAGCCTCCATGAGTAGTGGCCCCACCTTCTTTTCCACAGTTTTAGCACCTTAGGTCCTCTGTGTTTAGAGGCCGCTTTCCCATGAGGCTTTGTGGGAGTATTCTTTTAACTCAATCCCAGGGGTCGTGATTTTCTGCAGCTGCTTCCTTTCTACCGTCATTTCCTCTCTTCCCCTAACTTGTTGCCCCTACTTTCCCATCTTGAGGGGACCCTTCATACCCTGACCTCAGGAATACCTCTTTCTAGGCCTTGGGGTGAGGGGTGGGGACCAAGGCTCCCACACTGGCACTTGTGGTTCAGATGCTGGGCCCTATGGTGAGCCTCTCTCCAGGAAAGGAAGAGGGGAGGGTGGGGACAAGGGTCAGGCATTTATGATGAGTCAGTCTTTAAGGGATCATGAGCTCTCAGAACCTTAGAATTCAGGACCCGTGAATCCTGGGTATCTCCTAGAGAACTGGGATAAAAGTGGGCTCAGATTAGGGATCCAGGGCTGGTCAACATTTGAACTGAATCACATATTCATCCTAACCTTGGATGATTCAAAGGGCCATATTTAACTAAGAAGAGTGGCCTTAAGGAGTTTGTGCGATGATGAATTCATGGGAGGGAGATGATTAGATGAGGGTTTGAACTTGGAGATTCCATGGGGGAGAATTTTGTGTGGTGTGAGGCTGACCAGTGAGAAAACTTGTGAATGTTCTCATAGGTACTGGGAAGAAGTGTCTGTCTTTTGAAATATCAAAACAGTTATGGATTGCTATGTTACCTATTGTTTTCTAGCTGAATTCATACTGAAGTAATTTTTATTAATTTGATATATTTTAATCATAAGTGTTTTATGTAACATTAAAATGTATACAAATACAGAAATAGAAAATGAATTTACTCAATTTCAAGTTAAAACAAACATATCTAACCATTTTTTTTTTTTTTTTTTTGAGACAGAGTCTGACTCTGTTGCCCAGGCTAGAGTGCCATAGTGTCAGCCTAGTTCACAGCAACCTCAAATTCCTGGGCTCAAGGGATCCTCCTGCCTCAGCTTCCCGAGTAGCTGGGACTACAGGCATGCGCCACCATGCCCAGCTAATTTTTTCTATATCTTTTTATTTTATTTTTTATTAATTTTTTTGAGATAGAGTCTCACTCTGTTGCCCAGGCTAGAGTGCCATGGTGTCAGCTTAGCTCACAGCAACCTAAAACTCTTGGGTTCAAGCGATCCTTCTGCCTCAGCCTCCAGAGTAGCTGGGACTACAGGCATGCACCCACATGCCCGCTAATTTTTCTATATATTTTAGTTGGTCAATTAATTTCTTTCTATTTTTAGTAGAGACAAGGTCTCACTCTTGCTCAGGCTGGTTTCAAACTCCTGACCTTGAGTGATCCTCCTGCCTCGGCCTCCCAGAGTGCTAGGATTACAGGCGTGAGCCACTGTGCTCAGCCAATCCCTCCTGTTAAGACCCTTATTTGACCTTGAGGCTTAGTTCCAGTTAGCGACATCTTTTTTTTTTTTTTTTTTTTTGAGACAGAGTCTCACTTTGTTGCCCAGGCTAGAATGAGTGCCGTGGTGTCAGCCTAGCTCACAGCAACCTCAAACTCCTGGGCTCAAGCAATCCTTCTGCCTCAGCCTCTCGAGTAGCTGGGACTATAGGCATACGCCACCATGCCTGGCTAATTTTTTCTCCATATATTAGTTGGCCAATTAATTTCTTTCTATTTATAGTAGAGACGGGGTCTCGCTCTTGGCTCAGGCTGGTTTCAAACTCCTGACCTTGAGCAATCTGCCCGCCTTGGCCTCCCAAAGTGCTAGGATTACAGGTGTGAGCCACCTTGCCCGGCCAGGACCAAATGTCTTAACCATCTTTATGTTTAGGATGTCTTGAATCTAGAATTTATGAAAATAAATGTTTGCATAATCCAACAAAGGAGATGAAGAAATAGGCAGAGAAGGAGAAAACCAAGACTGTGGGGATCAGGAAAGTCAAGAGAAGAGAGTGTTTCTGGAGAATGAAGCAATACTGAATACTGTTGGGAAGTCAAGCTGATGAAGCTTGAAAGGTACCCTCTAAATGTGGCCACATGGAGGATCCAGTAGAACACAGATTTTTATTGATAAAGATAGGCCAAATGTTGCTTATACAGAGTCACTGCATTTTTCAGGCTAGTCAATTAGGCAAGCTTCTCCTTGAAGAAGGATGAATGGTTCTCACCAAAAAGAGGAGTGATCACTTTTCTGAATCACCATCAGCATTCCGAAGAGGTAGATAGAAAGCTAGGTTCTGGAGGATGTGTAGTGAAGAGCTAGGCCCTCTGGCAGGTGGTGGTACCCAGCAGAGATGGCACCTGAGGATTCTCTGGTCCTAGGAGAAGGCTTTGGACCAGAGGTCTATGAAAAAAGTCTGGGCATTGCCACTGGTCTTCACAGACTGGCAGGCCTGCATCAGGCTGATCCTGGGTCTCCTGACCCAGCTGCACGATGGACGCCTCCCTCTGGACTGTAGCACACAGGGCCACAGCGCAGCTGGGGCTCCTCCTCCTCATACCAGCGCTGTTCACTGAAGTCAGGGAAGAAGGCTGCAATCTCTCTGCTGGCTGAAACTACAGAGTCTATAAGGGGAGATGAGACAAAAGGGATTCTCATAGAGAGTGCTGAGTAGAAGCAAGAGGCAGTCATAATCAGGTTCAGAAACCTGAGCGTCTACTTCTGCCTGCCCTCTCCATCTCAGGGCGTATAGAGAAAGTCCATGGGCCACATCTGCCAAGATGGCTACAAAGGGCCAGAAACACAAATGGGCAGAAAGCACACTGGAAGGATCTGGCTATCAACCTTACCTTACAGCCTGCCCATTAACCCCAAAACATCCTCCCTTATTTGTGGCTGTGGATAAGGGAAACAGACTCACCTGAGCCATGGGTGGTGTTGCGAGTGTCAGTAAGGCCGAAACTCCCACGAATTGAATCTGGGGCCATGTGGCGTGCTCGAAACACTCTGGTAGGTCCCATTAGTGTCCTCCAGAGCTGGATGGCATCCTTGTGGGCGAGGATGTAGGCTCGGATTGGCCCACTGTGAACAAAAGGAGCACATGAAGAAATCCGGCCATCCAGTCTAGGAGGGCATGCTGTGGGCAGGGCATGAAATGAAGGTACACTATACATCCTGAGAGCTTCCCTGCCTTTCTAGCTAAGTACCAGTGCTGCTTCACACAGAAGATGAGGGAGGGCTGCTGGTGATGTACAAGAAAGGCCACAGAGATCAGCAGAGTTGCTACACAGCACTCAATGATACTTTCCTACAGCCGTGGGACAGGCGCCTAACAGATCAGTGTTGGCTCAGTTAGAGCCCCCAGCCCATGTTTCTTCAGGCTTGACATTGATTACTTTATTTTTTATTGTTTTGAGACAGAGTCTCGCTCTGTTGCCTGGCTTAGAGTGCCATGGTGTCAACCTAGCTCACAGTAACTTCAAACTCCTGGGCTCAAGTGATCCCCAGCTAATTTTTTTTTTCAATTTTTAGTAGAGACAGGTCTCACTCTTGATCAGGTTGGTCTCAAATTCCTTATCTCAAGCGATCCTCCCACCTTGGCCTCCCATAGTGCTAGGATTATAGGCATGAGCCACCACACCAGGCCCTGACATTGATTACAACTTTAAGAGTAGCAAATCTCCTCTTTGGGGGTGTACTTTAAAAAAAAGAAAAAGAAAAAAAGAAAAAAGAAAGAGTAGCAAATGAAATAAACAAATCAATTTAGGGGGCAGGGAAGATATGCCTCAGTGAATAAAGATGTTGGAACAAAAATGAGAAGTACCTGGCCATGAACTCTACCAGCCGCTGATAGAAAAAACGCCCTGCAAAGAGAGAGTACCTTCATCAAGATACCTTCATCTTGGTGCCCAAGAGAACATTTTGTTCTTCTACCTCCTTACCTAGAATAATAAAAACTGTTTTAGGGAAAAAAAACAATGATGTTAGAGTCTGACAAACCTGGGTCTGAATCCAGGCTGTCATTTACAACCTATGTAGTTTTGGGTGAGTCATTAACCTCCCTAACTCGGTTTCCTAATCTGTGTTTGGGGGTTGTTATAACAATACTACTTTTTAGGATTGTTGGGAGAATTAAATGAGCATTCAGGTGATGTTTGACAGTAAATACTAACTGTTAACTACTGATATTATTATCAGGACATAAAATTAAGTTTTTGGTTGGGACTATGAATGAGGTAGAACCTTCGTAGAAGAAAAAGATTACTAATCACAAAAAGTTTGTGTATAAACAAAGAGTTTAGAGGACTTGGCTACAATTTTACACAGTTGGTAGGTCAGAGAGAGCCTGCCATTATATGTTCCAGCTAAGTCTCTCTTACAGGCCTCTGGGGATTGAGAAGCCTTCCGTTCAGAGGACACCTGGTCCTACCTTCATGCTCTTGGTAAAACCTCTGGCAGTCTTCTTTTCTCCACAGTAGTTCTCTCATTCGTACAATAAGGAACTTGTTGCTCAGAATCTGCTGATGAACAGCCTGGATAAAGACCACCCCAAAAATAAAAATCAACAGTAATCCAAAGCTGGCCAAAAGAAACCATGAGGATCCCCTGCAGTGTAGGACTTGAGGGTCTGTCCTGTTGGTGGGTCAGAAGAAAAAACAAGGTGCAGTGAGGTCAAGACCTTTGGTCACACAGCCAGAGTGTCAGCTCAGATGGAAGGGGATAGGAAGTGCTGGCTCTGTCCTTCCACACCTATGGCCCCTTGAGCTCACAGGACCCACCATCCAGACTACCACAAAAGTCTTTTGTTAGTGGTCCTGCCTTGAGTTTCTCTCTCTCTAAACCATCACACTTGATAGATTACAAACCCTATAATTTACATATCACACTCTGGTCAGAAGGTTTTAGTTAGTTCTGTTATTCATGGAATGAAGTTCAACCACTTTAGCCCAGCGTTCAAGGCTGCACTTTCCTTGCCCTCTACCACTTCCAATTCTCTAGTCTCAACAACCCAGCTGCTGGTGGCGCTCAGACCCAGCACACATGTGTTCCTGCCTCATGTCTGCCTTCCTTGGAGCACCTGTCCTCCTCCTGCTGCTAACCAAAGTCCACCCTCCCTTTGAGGCGTGGCCAAGTCCCACCAATTCCAGTTTATTCCCGACTGCTCTGATCTTCTTCTGCCCACAGTGGGCTGATCTAGTAGTGTTGCCCAGTACTTCTCGAATTGTGGTAGGCAGAATCCTAAAATAACCCCCACTTCCACTAAGATTTCTCACCCTAATCCTCATGACTGTGAATATGATACAACATGATTATGTTACATTACATAACAAAAGGGATTTTGCATAAATAATTAAGGTTACTAATCAGTTGACTTTGCTATAATCAAATGGAGATTATCCAGGAGGGCCTAATTAATCCCATGAGCCCTTTAGAGCAGTTTTCTCTGGGTGAAGGATGAAGTCAGATTCAAAGCATGAGAAGGATCTGATTGCACTGTTGCTGTGTTGAAGATGGAATGGGCGATGTAAAGAATTTGAGTGGTTTCTAGAAACTGAGAGCAGTTCCTGCCTGAAGGCCAGCAAGGAAATGGGGACCTCAGTCCTATAATCACAAGAACTGAACTCTGCCAAAAACCTGAATGAGCCTGGAAATGGATTCTTCCCCAGACACTCCAGATAAGGGCCCACTCTGCTGATACCTTGACTTTGGCCCTGCAAGACCCTAACAAGATAACCCAGCTAAATCTATTGGACCTCTAAACTATAGAATTGTAAAATAACAAACCAATAACTGTTATTTTAAGCTCTTGATATGTGGTAATTTGTTATGTAGCAATATAAACGAACACATATATATTGTCTTGAGATTTGGGTTCCTTTTATTATTGTATTGGGTCCTTTCTTATATTTTAGATCTACCCCAAGTCTTCCATAGATTTTTAGTCTCCTTAGGGTCATAGTTCATGGCTTGACCCCATAGCATCTAGCACAGGACTGTGCTGTCAGTTGCCACAAGTGTCCCTATAGCACCTGAAACAGTAGCAATGCCCAGTGCATACAGTAGAGGCTTAGGGTTTGTTCTTACCTCCAGAATCACTGGGTGAGCGACTGCATCAGGCTTGATCAGGGCTAGAGTGAGCTGGAGAGCCTGAGGGCTTCGCAAGATTGAGGTCATCTCACTTCTGCTATCAGAGAACTGAATTATGCACCCATCAGTGCTACACTCCCACCCTTCCCTACTCTGGAGCTACACAGACTTACAAGCCAACCAGTGCCCTCACTCCTGACACTCATAAAGCACCTGACAGTTTCATCATAAGGCTGTTTTTAATTTTATTTAATTTAATTGCCCATTTTGGGCTCATGGGATTGAGGGAAGGGAGTAATAGAGGGGGCATTCAAGTTGTCTTGTGGATTACACAATCTGGTTTGTGCAACTGTAAGCCTACAAGGGAGTTTTCCATTCAAGAGAAATAAAAGTTTAAATACTACCTGCCTCTGCCAATACTCTCTTCCCTTCCTAACTTCCTTTTGTATTTTACAGAGGATTTACAATTTACACTTCTAAACAGCCTGGCCACAAGGATATAATGACTGATTCCCCTCTTAAGGCCCTCTGACCCATAGTGTTCTCCTATTAATTCTAGAACTGGAAGACAGATGGACAAGAATTGGGGTGTTGTCAGGATACCAAAAAGTCCATTGGATATACACCACCTCTTATCTAATATTATGAGTAAGTCAGGAACTCCCCTCCCCAAATCAAACCTGTTAAGACACTCAGCTGTCCTCAGTGGCAAGATCTGTAGACATGCATCTCCAAGGTCAGGGACTGTTCATAACCATTTTGCATTTGAAGCAGCTGAAATAGTGCCAGGCACAAAGGTGTTTGATCAGTTTTATTGACTAAATAAACCTATACAGACTTATTTCTATTCATTTTTGTAATCCTAGTGTCTAGCATGGTGTAAGAGCTCAACAAATAATTATGGAAATGATATAATGAATATAAAAATATTTTATAAACTGGACTAAGATTTGAAGTCTTTTCCAATTGTGAAATTCTATTTACATGTGAAAAATTGATCGCTTCTACAGGAATAAAGACTAGGTCTCAAAATATTATCTCTGATTTGCCAACAAATACAGAGAAAGCTTCCATGGACACATGGAGGGGCAGAATCTGAACATCCTCATTTTTCTTAGCTTGAAGGCAGCCTTATGATCACATTAGCAGTGGTGTCAGGGTCTGGCCCAAACAAAGAAATGCCACAATCTCTTCTGTTCATGCCCTTTCTATAGCTGTTAAGTTGATGTTTCACTCAAACCATAAAACCAAGGCCAACCAGTACAAGATGAGCCAACTCACTCTCCCTAATGCCCAGGAGGTGAGTAACCTGGCATCTTTGCCAGTTATCTATGAAGACATCCATGACACCTCCCCTCCCTCACCCTCCATAACCACACTATCACCAACTTCTGGCAATTTTATCTACCCAAAATCCATACAATTCTCTCCCACTCAACTGGTAACATCCCAGTCCAAGACACCATCATTCCTCCCTGGACATCTTTGCAGCCTTCTCACTGGTCTCCTGGTTTCTATTCCTGTCACTCTCTACAATCTGTTCTCCACACACAGCCAGTGTGAACTAAAAATCCAAATCTAGGGCCCCGGGGGCCTCGGCCCTGCCCGCCCCGCCGGCCGCCCGCAAGCCCCGGCTCCAGCCCCAGCCCCGCGCAGGGTGCCCGGGGCCGCAATGCGGGGGCGCTGCCCGCCCGGCTGGCCGCTGCCGCCATCTTTCCTGGCCGCCCGCCCCGCCCGCCAAGCCCGCACCGGGCCTTGGCGCCCTCGGCCGCTTACCTTGGCGCCGATCTGGTTGCCGCACTGCCCGGCCTGCAGGTGCACGATCTCCCTCATGGCGGCGGCGGCGGGGACGAGGGCAGCAGGCAGACACACAAGCGGAGGAGCAGGCGCGCAGAGTGCTACAACCGACGCTCAGCCAATGCTTATATACCCACCGCGCCCGCCTCCGTCAGTCTCGGATTGGGGTGCCAGAACGAGGCTGGCAAGAAGCCTCTCTTGATTGGCTTTGTCCCCGTCAATCAAGACGCCTAAGGCCCGCCTTCCTAATGCCGTCAGCCCCTTATTGGTCAGCCTCGGCCTACAATCTCCCTATCACAATGCCCCCCCTCGTGCTGCGGTGCTCTGTCCATTGGGTGTTTCAAATGATTGATTTGCCCTCTCATTGGCTGGCTTCCGGGAGCACGCCGACAGGTTGGCGCTATTGGCAGCGCGGGGTCAGCGTCCTGGTAACCGCCGCAGTGCAGCGGGAGACGCGCGCGGGCGGGGCCGAGCTTCCGGCCGGGGAGGGCAGGCCCGGCGGTCGAGGGCGGGCGCGGTCCTGGCGCCGCGCCCGGAAGGATGGTTCGAGAGTACTGGGGCGATCCGGGGTCCCCGCCGTGCGCCTTCTCCGAGGCCGCTGTCGCGGAGCGACGGGACCCGACCTCCCCGCGCGGAGCGAAGGGGCGCCCCGCAGCCACTCTGAGGGCCGCGCGGGGTCGCGGGGTGGCGGCCCCGCCTGGCGCGGGGCGAGCCCGGGGGTCTCCGAGGGAGGAACCGGAGCTCAGGTGCCGGGGTGGGGGCGGCGCCGCCGCGACCGGGATGTTCTTGGGGTGGGGACGCTGCCCCCAGAGCAGCGGAGCGTGGCGGG